AGCAGGCGCTATACCAGGGTCAGGCGGGACGCACAGGTAACAGGCACGGTCAACACTAGTAGGCAATGCATACATGGCAGTGAGAATAGCATCATAGTCAAGTGCAAAGATATCTACCCTCTGTCCAAGCAGCTCCGGCCAGGCAGGGAGCTCAGCCTCGTCTCCAAACACGGTACGCCAGGCGTCGCTCAGACGGGCGAAGCAGCGGGACTGTGTGTGACCAAGCGTCCCGCAAGGCTGACCAGTCCTAACACCTGTGCGAATGACGTACGGGCAGCGAACGGTACGCGTAGACCTGCTACACTGAGTGTACCACTCCTGGAGCTGCCGGGGCGTAAGTGTCTCGCGAGGACGCCCCTGCAGCTGCAGCTGGCCACTGCCAGACGCCCCCAACTGACCAGCTCCAGGGCGACTGCTACGACGGCTACCTCGACAGCCCCAAACCCTATACCACTCATCAAGCTGCTGGGGCGTGAGAGACGCGCAGGAACGACGCTGGAGCTGCATCTGGCCACCTGCCTGCTGACTGACTCGGCCGCATCAGCGGCAGGTCGGGGCCGAGGCAGAGGGCCGCGCGCGGCTCGGCGCGGGCTGCGCTGACAGCACGCTGGGCTGCTCCAGGCCGCGCGCGGCCGCGCTAGGCAGTAGCGGGCCGCGCGCGGCTCGGCGCGGGCTGCTGCGGGCCGCGCGCGGGCCGCGCGAGGCAGTAGCAGGCCGCGCGCGGCTCGGCGCGGGCTGCTGCGGGCCGCGCGCGGGCCTCGCGAGGCCGTAGCAGGCCGCGCGCGGCTCGACGCGGGCTGCGTGGGCTCGGCGCGGGCTGCGCGCGGCAGCAGCGGGCTGCGCGCGGCTCGGGTCGGGCTGCGCGCGGCTCGGGTCGGGCTGCGCGCGGCTGCAGCGGGCTGCGCGGGCTCGGTGCGGGCTGCGCGCGGCTGCAGCGGGCTGCGCGCGGCTCGGTGCGGGCTGCGCGGGCTCGGTGCGGGCAGCGCGCGGCAGCAGCGGGCCTAACGGTCTGCAGGGGCTGTTCGCGGGCCTGAAGGGCGTGTAGGGGCGGCGCGCGGGCCTTACGGGCCTCTAGAGGCAACGCGCTGGCCTAGGGCAGCAGGAGGCAGCACTAGGGCTGCTGGACGGCGCGCGTAGTGCAGCACGTCACAAGGCAAGGCAAGGCAAGGCTGCAGGTACATGGGGTAGCGCGGTAACCGCAGCCGTAGGTGGGCCCGAAAAAAAAAAACGGTCCTACTGACCTTAGTGCTCTGATACCATGTTAGAATCTAGCAGCAGGAATGATTGAACTAGCAGGATGCAGGAGTACAAGTAGTAAACCCTAATTTGGGTTGTACCCCATATGGGCTACCCCACTACAGCCTACACAATAAGCAGCATATATGTTTGACACACATCGCTCTGCGTTACTTCCTGGCTCGAGAGTTGCAGCAGCGTGGTCAGCTTCGTCTTGCTCACGTGGCCACTCGGGCCAACACTGCTGATATCTTCACCAAGGCACTTCCGTCTGGTGATCATCAGCGCTTTTGTACTTTGTTAGGCCTTGTACCTACGTTTCCACACTTGCTGTAGACTTGCCTGTACTGTGATCTATATATATATATAATTGAGAAAGCTTGCTTCTGTAGCAATTGGCATCGTTCTCATTACAATGGGGCATCGTTCTCATTACAATGGGTTCAAGTACAACAGTTCCTAGCAGTTATACTAATATACTATCACATCCAAAATGTCTAAGAACTACTACTCTCATAAGTTGACTAGCCTGGGGAGGGTGGGTGGGAATTGAACTTGAGCGATTGTAAAATGAGAGACGTGGGTGGGGGAAGAATGACCCCAGCCCACATTATATATTCGGAGAAGGCGAATACCGCGCTTCGACGATGCACAAAATTGCGTTACAGTCAGCTTCGCTTTCACAATACGCAAATTTGAAAGCGATAAAACGCTTAAAAAATTTTTATATTGAGAAAGCTTGCTTCTGTAGCAATTGGCATCGTTCTCATTACAATGGGTGACGCTGAGACATGTGCAAGGGTGCCTGACGGTGGCGCTTGAGGGCTCTGGAATGTTGTGCTGGTGATGGCGCGTGAGCCGTTGATTGGAGGTTGCGAGAGGCATCAATCAAACGATCGGCAGTGGGGGTCACATACATTTCCTTCGCCATTTCACTGCGCCATCGGCCTAGTTGTTTGAAGAGCCGATCCTCAATTCCTGCGTTTGCCGCTACAGTTGCCGCTCCTTTGCGAAAAGAGTGTGTGCCGAGCGCGTGGTCGCCGAGTCCGATGGCATGAAAAGCTTCCTTGCACCAGTTGCGTATTGTGGTATACGATGGTGGTTTGACTGGGAGTGAGTTGCTCGTGGCCGAACCAAACACCCGGATTAATGGTCCTGGAGTGGCAGGACCATATCCTGCTAGCTAGATGAAGCGCTTCGTGCATCGGACGGGGCAGAAAGGTCCCTGGCTTGCGGCAATGGGCACCCATGAGCCCTTCCCTTCTTGGTCGGTCTTCGAGCGCGGGATGAGTAACCACATGGCATCGTTTTCGAACTGAATATCGTTCCAGCAGATGGCGGCGAGATCCGAATACCGAAGGAAGCCGGCGTACATGAGAAGTGGTATGAGTCCTTTTTGAAAGGTGGATGGGTCGTCCGAGCTAATGAAGTGTGCGGCCATGGAGTGCACTTGGTGAAGAGACATCGGTTCTTTGGTCCGGTGGGGTCGCGGGCAGTGGCGCTTGGCAAATTCTCGGACTTGAGATGTCATGGGGCCGATGGTAGGGCAGGCGGCCCCAATCATGCGGTGGGCAAAACCAACCGCCGAGCAAGTGAGTTGCACCACCGAGAATGTGGCCTGGTGGCGAATGGCGTAGACGAGGTACAGCGCGAGTGTCATATCTCGTGCGGGCAGGTACTGTAGTTTAGTCTTGATGCAGAATGAGCGGAACTGCTGCCAGTATGGTTCGTAAGTCTTGATCGTAGATTCCGCACACGTTTGCAGCATCATTGTGAGCAATTGGCTCTGCAGCGAGCGGAGTAATCCTGAAGCGATTAGAGAGGACGCAAGCAAAATTGTTAACGGAAGGAGATGCGCAAGGCCATCATCATGCTATGTGGTAGGCCGGAGCCCGAGAATGCCGTGGTGTGCGTGCCTGGTGCGAGGCATTGACTCCCGTGAGTAAGTTTCAGGCAATCACGGATCGGCGAGGCCCAGGCGGGTGGCGAAGGTTGGAGGAGTGGCCACCAACTAGCCCCGGGCCAGAAGGGAACAATGAGCGTCAGTGAGGCTGATGTCCTTTGTGCGTGGTGAAGGAATGACGGGATCAGCTGTGGTGGTGGAAAGGCGAAACCATGTTCGTCAGCCCAGGATGTTGCGAAGGCGTTGATCGCTAGGGCCTTGGGATGTGGGTGTTCGCAGCAGAATCGGGGGAGCTTGGCATTCGCAGCACTGGCGAAGAGATCTATGGAGTGCGGCCCCCAACGTCGCTCGAGAAGGTTAAACCATGGGGTCTTCAGGGTGTAGTCGTCTCGGTCGAGAGTCTTCGAGAGCTCATCCGCGAGCGTGTTAAGCTCGCGAGGGATCCATTCCATGATCAAGCGAATGCGACGGGTCATGCAGGTGCGAATGATGGCTTTGCATGCGGTGGTGAGACAGCTGTTGCGCGATCCACCCTTTTTTAGAATAAAGAATACGCCCTGGTTGTCGACACGCACGAGCACATGTTTGTTCTGGATGAAGCTTGTGAAAGTTTGCAGTGCCCAGAGCACCCCTTCGAGCTCACGACGAGTACTGGACGTGCCAAGTAGTTCCGGGGGCATGTTCGCGCAGGCCTTATGAGTATTTGTGGAGAACGTGTCGAGTGTGGCCCCCCAGCTGTGCGCGCTGGCGTCAACATGAATGATTGCGTCGTAGCTACCGCGAACATGAAATGGGGCTCCATTGAAGTGGTCGAACTCGATTGACCAGAACTCCAACTCTTCGCAAGCACTCGGGGGTAGTAACAACCTGCTGTTCCATGAAGGCGCATCATCGATGGTTTGTAGTAATGCGTGACTGAATGCTCGCGCTGTCGCCCCAAGGGCAAGGTTCATGGAGGCGAGCATGCCTGTGATACGTGCGACTTGCCGTACTGGGACTTTGTGCTGTGCACGTCCTGCGGCCAATAATGAAGCGATGGTAGATTGCAGGACGCTTCGTCGCTCCGTGCCGACAGAAAATTGTCCCCGCTGGGTATCGAGCTCCAATCCTAAGAATCTTAGCTGCTGAGTAGGATGGAGATGAGACTTTTTTGCATTGATCATGAGGCCCGCTTCTCTTAGGTCCGTGATCGTGCGGGTGCAGACGTCTCGAGCCTCGGCTTCTGTGTGGCACAGAAAGAGAATGTCGTCCACGTATGGAATAACGCGGACCCCTGTTGCTCGCCATCGACGTGCCAACTGCTTGATCAATTGAGTAAAGACGAAAGGCGCCGTCGCTAGTCCGAACGGGAGTGATCTGAAACAGTACGAACGCCCCTCGAACTCAAAACCCAAGAATTTCCAGCAGGACGCGTGGATGTCAACGTGGTGGTAACCCGACTTGAGATCAATTGAAAACATCCAATCCCCCGGATGTGCAAGTTCCGCCACGCGAGGGAGTCCTTCGTACTTGAACTTCGGAATGCACAGCTCGTTATTAACTTTACGTAGATCTAGGATGAGGCGACACTTGTCTCGCTGCTCGACGACGTTGAGGGGACTAATGCATGCGAGCTCCGATGCTGGCACCTCGATTGCTGCGCCGGTTTGAAGGAGATCTATGATGGCTGATCGCGTAAAATCCATGTGAGCATGGGTTCCAGCATGATTGGAGCACTGAAATGGTTGTGGCGGTCCTTGTTTCCACGGCATCCAGTAGCCCTGTTCAATAATTGATAAGACAAGGCTGCTCGTACACCAACTTCGCCACCAAGCCAATGCGGATCGCAAGCGCCCCCGCATGATGGAAATTGTCCTATCCGTCACTGCGTATTCGAGAGGGTGATCTTGTTGCCCCAAGGCATGCATCGAAAGGCCTGCACATGGCAGTATACCAGAAAGCAATACATAACAGTTAGTTTAGTTTTTTTTTTTTTTTTTTCCATCCGAGCAAGCGTTGACGCTCGAGTGGGATAACCCTCTTTTCAAGCACGAAACCATGGTTTTTTTTTTTTTTTTTTTTTTTTTTTTTTTTTTTACTTTCTTCATGGCTCCCATGAAAGTTTTTTTCCAAGAACTCATAGACTTCCTTTGCTAGCACTCCCCCCAGTCCGTGGTTTTGTATATATGTTTTATATCTCCCTCTCTCTAGCTCTCTCTCTCTCTCTCTCTCTCTCTCTCTCTCTCTCTCTCTCTCTCTCTCTCTCTCTCTCTCTCTCTCTCTCTCTCTCTCTCTCTCTCTCTCTCTCTCTCTCTCTCTCTCTCTCTCTCTCTCTCTCTCTCTCTCTCTCTCTCTCTCTCTCTCTCTCTCTCTCTCTCTCTCTCTCTTTCTCTCTCTCAATTTTCGCCAATACATTATGCGCCCGCTCGTGGCAAGGTCGTTTGTACTTTGGTTCTTTATATTAGTGTCATGATATTAAGTTTCTTGAGGCTTCATTTGCCTCCCTCAATAAGCCTCCTTGAGGCGTGGGGTGTTGAAACTGAAGAGCAACCAAGAGATCCTTGAGTAAGGCTTCTCTTCACTCTCACAACAAGTGCAGAACAAAAATTATATAATTAGAAAGAGCAACTCCATAAATCTTATCGAGAACTTCTAGGCAAGTGCCCTTAGACCCTCAATGGTCTATTCCCCTTAGAACTTTTTCACAGCAAAAAATAAACGGAAAAGATCAACTTCATGATGCTCTAGAGAGCTTCTAGGCAAACGCCTTAGACCCCAAATGGTCTTTCCCCCCAAGGGCTAGCCAACCGGCAATAAAAAACAGCCCAAGGGCACGGCCAATAGCCTTCGTGCGGTTATGCGCCCCGTCGAGTTTACACCACCGGTGCGGGTCCGTGAGGACCGTGCCCACCAGCAGGGCATGCGTTGGCAGTGTGGCCTGGCTGGCCGCAGCGGAAACAGGTGCCGCGGAAGCCCCTAGCATCGCAGCTAGGGGTCGTGCCGAATTTGCCGCCAAACCCCGTGGGACCGCGGCCTCCAAGGGAAGAACCGCGACCGTAGGAGCCTTGGGCGCGGTTCATTGCTGCCACATCCGCGAGCGCCTGCTTGAAAGGGCGCGAAGTCAGCACACTTTTCTGCTGGTACAGCTTGAAGCGGTGCGCCGTCTTGAAGTCGGAGGCGTCGGCGACTTGAAGGAGTTGGAAGCGATCGGCGATGAGCGCGTACGCCTCTTCGAAGAGCTCGAGAGCGCCAGCGGTGTCGCCGTGGCGTATCTTGTGCTCCGAGTGCTTCAGGTACGCGCGCAGGTCCTCCAGAAATTCGGCTTGCTCGCGTACCCCGGCGTGGTGAAAAGAAGAAGCCGGAATGGTGGGGTTGGTGGATGGGAGTGGAGGAAGATGTTCGGCAGGTGCAATAAAATTGTTGTGTGCATTAGCCTCACCCGCTTCGTCTTCAGAGTCGCTGTTGTCGTTGACGACGTTGGGCGCCGGAGCTGCAGCGTGTTCCCTTTCGGCACGAGGGACTTCGGGCACGCGGGGGTGACGTGCCAAATCGTTTCTTGCGTTTGCGTTTTTAGCAGATGCGGAAATTGTTGTCGCTGTAGGCGTAACCGTCGGCGGCTGCTGCTGTAACAGCGCCAAAAGCGCTTGGACCTGGTCAGCAGTCAGCGTCGGCGGAGTCAAAGCAGGGTCAGCCGTCGCGTCAGACGAAGACCCAGTTCGGCGCCTCTGGCGCTGACGCGACGGTCCGGCCACAGGTGCTGGCGCGTGCTCGGCGTCAGGCGCGTGTGGCGCCATGGGTGCTGCAGGTGCCGCGGTCGCCACTTGCACCGCAGGCGCCACAGGCGCCACAGGCCCCTCAGGCGCCACAGGCGCCGAGGGGTGCTGTTTGTTGGCGGTTTTGTTGACTTCCGCACTGCGCGTCAAAAGATCGACGCCAGTGGTCGCGATACATTCGTCATCCGCCCGTCGCTTGTTGCGGCGATCGCCCGAAATTTCACGGGCGTTCTTCTCGTTGTCCGAACGATTCGGGGCGTTGTCAGTCGGCGCCATTGAAGCTTGATTGTAGGTAAGAATGTCCGACAGCAGCGTCGAGGGTGAATGAAAACGTGGAAGGGTTTTCACCCTCGCCAGGTTGAGGTCCGAAAAAATCGGGAGGGGGTTGGAGCCTCCGACAAAATCGGGATGGGTCTCGGAACTGGGAATTGAACTTGAGCGATTGTAAAATGAGAGACGTGGGTGGGGGAAGAATGACCCCAGCCCACATTATATATTCGGAGAAGGCGAATACCGCGCTTCGACGATGCACAAAATTGCGTTACAGTCAGCTTCGCTTTCACAATACGCAAATTTGAAAGCGATAAAACGCTTAAAATTTTTTTATTAAACCTGCATGCTTGCTCTTGCTAGGTAGTGATCACTGTTCTGTTGTTGTTGCATATATACCTCTGCATGTGAATTGGCCTTGTGGCCCTTTGCTTGTACTCAGAGTGTGTGGTGACGTTGTGATCCACCCTGAGATTGCTTTGCTTCTCTTGACTGGTCTTGTGACCCCCTGGCCTATGGTGGCGTGTCAAACTATATAGGCTATATTTGTGTAAGCTGTAGTGGGGTAGCCCATATGGGGTACAGAACTTTTAGGGTTTCATATTTGTACCCAACTCTGATCTAGTTCAATCATTCCTGTCTCTAGTTTCTGAGAGAGACCCCTTTTCCCCTCGTCAGTCAATCCCTTTCTCGCTACACTGACTTTGCCGAAATCCTTGACTTGAAGGTTTCGCTAACACTATTTCAAAACCACATAACTTGAAGAATTACCATGCTGACCCCAGGCTTTAAGGTGTCAGAATGTGATGGTTGTCTAGCCTGCAGTGGGGTACTCTATAGCGAGTACAGCCCTTCTAGGGTTTGCATATATGTATCCCTATGCTTGTTAGTCAAAACCCTTCTTGCCTGTTTCTCGTTTTGGCCTAGCATTTTGACATAAGGGGGGGGTTTAGTGTAAGGAAAATTTCTTTTCCATATCGGGGTTGACTGCTAGGCGTACAACCCCAACCTTTTCGGGCTTCGCATGTTCGGCCGACATCCACAAGTCCGAGGCTGCCTCGCATCGCCTTCGCCTTCCCGATCGCCAAACCTGCACCCAACCTCGCTTCCCCGATGTTTCCTCTGGTACTTTCATTGTATTCTCAGTTCATTGAGTCACAGCCTCGTTATTCGTTATTCCGCACAACTTTGATGTACAACTCTCATACGGTAACACGTTTGGCACTCATATCGCATGAGAGAAGGCACAGATGTTTCCATTCCAGCCGCCTTCCAATTTCCAATTCTGCCCTCCTTGCTCCAAACCACCCTGTTGAGTCTCAGTAGCTACTGCCTGCAACAGCCTCTGAGGCTATTCAGTCTCGCACCAGATGGACCTGATCGTTGAAAGCAAGGATGAATTATCTGTCCCAGATTTTGACCTAGAGGGGAAGGGAAGGGAGTGAGGAGTGAGCTAAGGATTAGAATGGGGAGGGAATGAAAGAGTTGCAAAGGGGAGCAAAAAAAAAAAAAGGAAAGGGGAGGAAGAAGTAGAAGGCGATTGGTGCACACACGAGAAGTAAGCAGCCGGAAAGCAGCTATGGCAGGTGCTGCAGATATGGGCATCAGTGGATGGTTCAGGTCACTCACTCAGCATAAAATGCAAAATCAGGAGAGGTAGGATCCCCCCCTTTCACAACATTCCCTTCACAGTTGTTGCCGTCGTAGAACTTGATAGCTTTGCAGCGCGGCGTGCCGTCCGCTATGTTGAACACGCTGGATCGAGCGCGGTACTTCCCAGCCACCTCCCTGGGTAGCTGCATGCACCCCCCGTAAGAGGCCCGCACTGTGAACGGCCGGGAGGCCTTGTCATTCGCCCAGGGATCCTGAATGAACGTAAAACTCGCTGCTGCCATCATGTGCTTGTAATCTGAAAATGCATGGTGCAAGTGGCAAGATGCGGAGTGGCAAGCAGAGAAGCAAGGCACAATCAGAGGGGGAAGTGGAGTTATTAGCGGGTGAGACTGCGCCTGCCTCTGGATGCCTGTCCTCTTGCAGGAATGTGAAGGAGTGAAGTGCGGATGCTGTCCTAAATCAACCACAGTAGCACAGCCAGCATGCGGCAGTGCACCCAAGCAGTCCCATGCAGTCCCAGTCGTTAGAGCACATGCAGTGAGGCACATGCAGTGAGGCGCATGCAGTGAGGCGCATGCAGTGAGGCATCATGCCCCATGCTGTCTCAGGGAAGTGGGGTCTCACCCATGACGCAACCGTTCTCAGTCATCCCGTAGCCGTAAGGGCACACACAGTATTGAATTGTAGCCTTGTATTTTTCCGACATAAAGCTTTTGCACGTGGCAAAATCGGGGCAGTTGCCACAAGGCGAGGCTGAGGGAGGGAGGAAGCAGATGCAAGGGAGGGTGCAGCAAGACAATGTCAAGTTTCACCTTTCTTTAGAGAATTTGGTGAGGAAGCATTGGCAGTTGAAACATGCTCAATGCTGCGGGGAATAAACACCATCCCACAACGGACCCGTATGCGTCATGGCCATACTCGCACACACCCCGTCACATGGCTGCTTGCTCACCCCATTGGCAGCTGTAGAGTCCTATCATGCTCCTAACACATCTCCCACCAAGAGACGCGCAGCCCAAGTTCGAGCAAAGCGATTCTGAAACAGAGAGATGGAAGTAGAACAGGACAGGTACGGCGAGGGCGAGTGCAGACAAGGAAAGATGCAAAGACAGGATGGGAAGAGCGCGGACGTGAAAATTCTAAAGTACACGAGCACCATAAATGGAGCAAGACAGTGCAAGCACATAATATTGTTGAGTTCAAAATCACCACGCCTCACCTTCACAAGCAGTATAGTCACACTTCTCAAAGCCCTGCCTGCAGCCACAGTATTTTGTTTTCGCCCCCATTACTTCGCACTTCAATTTGCCCTCAGACTTCCTCCAAGTGCATTCGTCTGCAAAGCAAGCAACACGAAAAACGTTGGTGTTGAGATTCATGAAGAACGAGAAGAACGAGAAACATGAAAGCATGCGTCTGAACGCATTTTTGTGCAAAAACCTTTTCCACGATGAAGAGTACCACCCCTTACCAGCACAAGTGCCATTGGAAAGTTTTTTAAAGCCCGTGGCACAGGAACAGGTTGCTACCCCTGCATCATCCTTGCCACACTTGCCGTTGGCCCCACAATCCATCAAAGCGCATTTGTCTGTGATGTAAGCAACAGGAGAAACGGTGTGCTCTGATTGAGTTTGGGAAAGGAAGATCCGAGGTAACACGAACGAAACATTGCAAGCAACACGTGCTGCGACGAGATTGAAACCGGAAAACATGTCAACAAAGAAGAAAACGCCACAAGAATGCTTCTGGGATTCAGAGCACCACGCCTCACCAGCACAAGTGCCATTGGAAAGTTTTTTAAAGCCCGTGGCACAGGAACAGGTTGCTACCCCTGCATCATCCTTGCCACACTTGCCGTTGGCCCCACAATCCATCGAAGCGCATGCGTCTGTGATGGAAGCAACAGGAGAAACGGTTCCGCCCGTGCTGTTCCCCCCCTGCACCCCCTCCACCCCCAACTCCAATGGCGTGCTGGCATTCCCACGGCCTCCCGTCGTGCTCTCGCTTTGCAGGCTCCTCCTCGCAGTCCCTGTGCTGCTCGTCCCTCTCACTTGCACGCGCACATTCCGGCGATCCGCGTGCTCGCCTGCCGCCACGTGAGCCGTGGCGACCGCTGGACGCGGAAGAAAAAGCAGAGGGGTGAGAGGGAGACGAGAGAGTGAGAGGGAGCAGAGGGGCGAGAGGGAGGAGAGGGGCGATAGGGAGGAGACGGGCGAGAGGGAGGAGTGGGGTTGAGAGGAAGGGCAGAGCGTGCTTCTGCACATGAGAAAATGCGGCAGCAGGAGAGAGACAAGGGGAGAACGGCTCACCGCAGATGACGGCAAGGACGAGGAGCGGAAGCAGTGCAGAAGGAGAGGTTGCCATGGCGGTCAAGCTGCCACGTCAGCTGGGTACAGCACGCACAACTGAGTGACTCGAAGCTCCACCGGCCAATCGAGCCTCTGGGATAGCACGCGCCGGACAACGTGACCAATGTCAGACGAAGTTGCAACTTCGCCCCAAACCTCGGACGTGGTGCTAAATGGACGCTGTTAGCTTAACACGAGGTACAACACGAGGTTACTGGTATACTGTTATAGCTAATCGTAGAACAGCTGTTGGCGCAAATATCATGCAGCACGTTATGGCACAGAAGCAGCGGAAGAGATGTTTCCATGGCTGCTCTGGCGGGTTGTTTATAAACGAATTCGGACGCTCCATGGGAGCCGATAGCACTGCAGAGCGATCTAGTGGTTGGATGGGTCGCTTATTGGTGGATCGTTTATTGGTGGGTCGCTTATTGCTGTGTCACTTATTGAAAGTTCGAAGCGACTAAAAAATGGAGCGAGCGAGGAACGCGGCGACCGATCTGGAGGATGAACGGTGAGTCAGCAATAACGCAGCCTATCACAACACAAGCAGCTGAATTATTGCGGGTTTAACTCTGCTCGCACAGTTTCGCTGTTTCGCTGTTTGCTGTTTCACAGGCTTCGCTTCTCTGATGTTCGCAGGGATCCCGAATGCAATCCCAACCTGGAAACGGATTTTGACGAAATGTGTCGAGTTACAGCGAGTTACAACGAATTCATCTTGCCATACAATTGGAATGGCTGGGGAAAAAATAGCCTAAGCTTCACCTTCAAGTAACCACCATGGTGTACCCATCGGGTACGATTGTTATGAGTTTTACTAGACAGAGTGCGCGGAAGACTTCTATAAAGAGAATGAATTACAGAATGATCGAGAATGATAAAGGAACATGCATTTGTAGGATCGAAATCGTGCTAGGCGAGTACCTCGTGACGTGCGAGGGTTGGATGTGTCGCGATTGGTGCGGGGCGACTCGGCGCTGGTTCGGTACGAAAGTGTAGGCCGAGCCTTCCTGACGCGAAGTGCTCGGGCTGTCCTCGCTAGGAGCAGCCTCTACAGTAATGAATGTATATTCATTACACTCTCCCACCTTCTAAATAAGGTGCACTTATATGAAGCCGAGTCTTGCAGTAGCGTAAAAACTGCCGATCTCGGTTGAAAACGATCCGACGGTGTAGAAAACGTTGACCGTCGAGTTGACGCGAGGCTGACTGGTTGACCAGGCGAATTTCAAAAGGTTGGATTGTCAGCCGTTGATACTGCCGATGTCGATCGGGCGGTTGAATTCGAAAGTCGGGTTGAAATCGCGAAGGAACGTGAGTCGTTGATGAAGCGAATTGGACGGTAACGATGCTGGCGATGTTGGTGGGAATTCTGACACAATGTCAGAAGTCGAAGAAGCCGATGAGTCGAAAGCCGTTGATGCCGATGAAGATGTCAGAGTCTGACGAGGCTGTCAGAACTGTCAGGTACAGTGCGAAAAAAATGCCTTTTCTCCCCCCCCTTGAAAAGAAGGGTAGACCCCCAGTGGAGTATAGCTGCGCGGGCAGAAATCGTCAACATCCCTGCCGCCAAGTGTCGTAAAAAATCACCAAGTGTTATGAATGTCAAATTATATATAAATGTGTTTGTTTAGGATGTCTAGGCTGTATGGGGTTTAGCACTAGGGGGTACACAAACTTTCTCGACATTCTCTTTCTTGTACCCAAACCCTCACCTAATCTCACACTTCCTTGCAAAGTTCTAAGATGGTATCTAGAGCAGGTCTTTAGGACCTAAGTTTAGGGCCCACTGGTTACTGTGTTACCTCATTACGGCCTTACCTGCCTTGCCTGCCTGCCTGACTTGCCTGCTGCCCGCGCGCGCCTCGGCTGCGCGCGCGCATAACCTTTTTTTTAGCGCGCGCCATAGTTTTCAGCGCGCGCGCCACTGCTGTAGCGCCGCGCGCCGGCCCGCGGCTCCTTCGCGGCCCGTCGCGGACCCCTTCGCGGCCCTTAGCGGCTCGCTCACGGCCCTTCGCGGCCCCCTTTCCCCCCCCCCCCCCCCGTCGCCGCCCCATCGTCGCCGCCTCCGCAGCAGCGGCCGTCGTGCCTGCTGCCACTGCCGCTTCCGCCACGCCTGGCCGCCGCCGCTACTGCTGTGACGGCCCCCTGCGGCCCCTGGAGCAGCCGCCCCTGCAGCAGCCGCCCCTGGAGCAGCCGCCCCTGGAGCAGCCGCCCCTCTGCAGCAGCCGCCCCTGGAGGAGCTGCCCCTGGAGGAGCCGCCCCTGGAGCAGCCGCCCCTCTGCAGCAGCCGCCCCTGGAGGAGCCGCCCCTGGAGAAGCCGCCCCTCTGCAGCAGCCGCCCCTGGAGCAGCCGCCCCTCTGCAGCTGCCGCCGTTTAGTCGCAGCCGTCGCCGCCGTCCCGGCCCTGTTCTGCCGCCCTGGTGCGGCCCTGACCCTGCTCGGACACCTCGGCCTTGCAACCCCGCTTGCGGGCTTCTCCAGCCCGCCCCTGGTAAGCGCATCGCCGAGCCGTGCCTCTACTGCTACTGCTACTGCTCCTGCTCGCTTTCTTCTACTGCTGCTACTAGCCTGCTCCGCCTGCTGCCATGGCTAGTCCTGCTGTGCTTACCTTCGATGCTGAGGGTCGGGCGATAGACTTTGAGGTCTGGCTTGACGACTTGCAGCTTTTCCTGCAGTGTGATAGCAAAGACGATGTCTCGCTGCATGACCTCACGTCTGGTGCTTCCCCCCAACCTGCTGCTGATGCTGATGCTACTGTGCGCTCTCGCTGGAACACCCGCGATGCCGCCGCCCGCCTTGCTGTGCGTAGTCACCTGCCGTCTGCTGAGCGTGCGCACTTCACTCAGTTTAAGACCGCTAAGACCCTGTTCGATGCTGTCGTTGCGCGCTACTCCTCCCCTGCCTCTGCTGCCCTTAGCCGCCTCATGCTCCCCTACCTTTTCCCTGACCTCGCCGCCTTTGCTACAGTCGCTGACCTCATTACACACCTCCGCACTAGTGACACCCGCTACCGTGCTGCGCTTCCTGCTGAGTTCTGCGCCAAGAACCCCCCCCCCCCCCCAATGTATATCACCCTCTACTACCTAGTCACCCGCCTCCCTGACTCCCTTCGCTCAGTCAGGGACCACTTCCTGGCTGTCTGCCCTACCACCCTCACCGTTGACCTCCTCGAGAAGGAGCTCCTTGCAGCTGAGACGAGCATAGTCGCTGTAGGAGCTTCTCGAGGTGACCCCCGTGCCCCTATCTTTGAGGGGTGCTCCCCTGTTCCCCTTTTGCCCTCTGTTGCCTCTGCTGCTGCTGTCGACCTCCTTGGCACTGAGTCGGTCGGCGCTGCGTCTGCCCCTAGCGGGAGGCGCCGCAACAGCAAGGGCAAGGGAGGCAAGGGTGCTGGAGGAGCTGGCGGGGGTGGTGGTGGTGGTGGTGGAGGCGGCAAGGGGGGTGGGGGTGGAGGTGGGAGTGGGGGTGGATCTGGTGGGGGCTCTGGTGGCGGCGGTGGAGGCGGAGGCAGCAGCAGCGGCAGCGGTGGGAGTGGAGGAGGTGGAGGTGGCGGCGGTGGCAGCGGAGGAGGCAGTGGCGGTGGTGGCGGTGGCGCTGGTCGGGGTGGCTCTGTGCAGCCGGGAGGCTCTGGTGGTGGACAGCGTCAGCAGCAGCAGCGCTCTCGTGAGGCCCCTCCGCCCAAGCAGCTCCACCAATGGTACGCTGGACGTCAGCGGCCTGGGGGTGCTGGTCCCTGTACCTACGTTCTGCGTACTGGTGACCGCACTAGTGAGCCGTGTGGCGGCCCGCAACCACCCAGCGCTGCTTCGGCCGCCTGACAGACGCCTGGCGTATCCGGTTCCCTGACGCCACTGAGCTCCCGCACTGGCATGAGCTACTTAGGTCGGGGGTTCCTATCTTTGATCTTGACTATGATGCTATCCTTGCTGCCATGTATGTTATGTCTACTAGTGATGACGGTGACTGTTACCTGAGTGTTCCGCCTGACCCGGGCGGTGCAGCTACTGCTCTAGGTGCCACTGAGTCTGCTGCTCCAGGTGCTAGCGAGTCTGCTGCTCCAGGTGCTAGTGAGTCTGCTGCCCTAGGTGCTGGTGAGTCTGCTCTCTCAGGTACCACGTCTACTCAGTCTTCGCACACTTTCACCCTTGACTCGGGTGCTTCCCGCTCCTTCTTTCGAGACCGCACCACTCTCACGCCGCTCAGTCGGCCGGTTGCGGTCTCCCTGGCAGACCCCTCTGGGGGTCCTGTTCTTGCCCACTACTCCACTGTTCTACCGTGTCCAGCGGTCCCGTCTGGCTCCCTGTCAGGTCTTTACCTCCCCTCGTTCTCTACGAACTTGGTGGCGGGTGCTGACCTACAGGATGGGGGGGTTGACCAGTTCACCCCTGCACGTCAGCGGGTGACCCACTGCACGTGTGCGGACACAGGCCGACACTTGGCCACGTTTACCCGTCGGCCGGGGTCGAGCCTGTACACCCTGACTACCGAGTCTCCTTAGGTTGCAGTGCCTGGTCAGGTAGCTGCGTCGGGTCAGGTGTTTGCTGCAGCGTCTCGGTCTGGTCCTGAGTCTGCCCCCTGCTCGTGTCGCCTCCTGTCCCACGAGACTCTTCTCTGGCACCACCGTCTTGGTCACCCCTCCCTGCCTCGTCTCCGAGGCATGGCCTCTCGTGTCCTTGTCTCTGGTCTCCCCCGGTCCCTCCCTCCCCTCCCTCCGGGGCCTGCCCCTACCTGCGTTCCCTGCGTCGAGGGGCGGCAGCGCGCCGCTCCTCACTCCTCCGAGTTTCCGCCGACAGAGGCTCCGCTGCAGACTCTTCACATGGACGTGTGGGGCCCAGCCCGCGTCCGTGGACAGGGTCACGAGCGCTACTTCCTGCTGGTGGTTGACGACTACTCGCGTTACACCACAGTCTTCCCCTTGTGCCGCAAGGATGAGGTTACTGAGGTGTTGATCGACTGGATCCGCGCTGCTCGTCTCCAGCTCAGGAAGAGTTTCGGCTCGGACTTTCCTGTTCTG